GAACTACCGAAATTCGACGGAGGATTTCTTGAAATGGACAAAACCCATCGCTTGAAGACGTGCAAAATTTCAATACTTGAAAAGCCAACTCGTCGATGAAGCTCATCGTACCATTGACGGTCTTCAACTCACCAACGCGAACTACAAAGAAGCTCTCCAACTCTTGGAATCCAGGTATGGTCAAAATCATAAAATTGTATCATGCCATATGAGCGCCCTTTTGAACCTACCAAGCCCACGTAACAATACTGACAGTATCCGGTCCTTTTATGACTCGCTCGAAAAGCATATACGCGGTCTTAAATCACTAGGGAAATCTGAAGAAAATTACGGTGATCTACTTGTGCCGATAGTTTTCCAAATATTGCCAGCAAATTTGAAAACACAGATATCTAGGGACCATGGTAACAAGGCATGGACAATACAAGAACTTAGAGAATCCATCCAGCGAGAAATTCATGTGAACAAAGCCACCAACACGTTTGAACAGTTCAACACCTGTGAAGATACACCGCTTTCCAGCGCATCAAATTTTCACATCAATGCGAAGCCAAGACGGAGACCAGCCTGCGTATTTTGTAAGGAAAATCACACACCCAACAAGTGTACAACAGTTACTGATCTTCAACAACGTCAGGACATCGTCTTCCGAAACAAACTCTGTCTCAATTGTTTCGGACAAACGCAGTAATGAATGTTGGAGTAAATTTTCATGTCGAATATGCAGTAATAAACACCATACATCGATTTGCGGTTCGCCAACGATCAGTCATCCCAAAGCTAGTAAACAGGCAGTCAAGTCAACAAAAGAAGACGTTGCACACGTAAAATTGACTCCAACCTCCGGACCAGTCCTGCTTAAAACAACTACAGCGACTGTATCTACAAGTAACGCAAGTACAACCGCAAATATACTGCTCAACTAAGGCGCACAACGAACCTTCATCACAGAAGACCTTGCTCGCAAACTTCAGATTAACAGCGAAGATTGCAGCATAGAACACATCACACTTGGCGCCTTTGGACGTGACAAATCAGATGTACGCGCTATCAAAATTACTGAGATAACACTAAAAACCAAGTCTGGTAACATTGCACTACAATGTTTAATAGTACCCAAGATCAGTTCACCAATACAGAATGTCGTCGCGCCAACACTACAACGGCATAAATATCTGCAAAAACTGAAAATCGCGCCCTTAGTCGAATCTGGATGTTTTGACATTGACCTACTTCTCGGAGCTGACCATTATTGGCAAATTGTTAAAGATCACGTCGTTCGAGGTGAGGGGCCCACAGCGGTATCCTCTAAATTTGGTTACTTGCTATCTGGTCCTTCTCACTTAAACAACGTGACTACAATGAACACTACTATAATGAAAGTATTAGCTTACACTGACCATGAACAATCCATCATATCACAGTACTGGGACTTAGAGACAATGGGAATAACTGCCAACGAAGATTCTAAGTTGAAATCCACAACGTTTGAAGAGTATTAGGACAACAATTTAACGAGATGGTAATAAATACACAGCCGGCCTACCATGGAAAGAAAATTGTGACATTCTACCTACAAATTATGTACTGGCGAAAAACAGAACAAGAGCAGTGGTAAAACGTCTTAAACCCGAATTACGGAAAGTCTACAATTCAGTCATAACAGAGCAACTACGCCGAGGATTTATCGAAAAGGTAATTGATGACGATATCTCACGTGGCCATTTTATCCCGCATCACCCCGTTGAAAACTCCAGTAGTTTACAACTGTAGCGCCAAGTACCGTGATCAACCCAGCCTCAATGATTGTTTAGAATCCGGTTCTGCTATCACCAACGATATGCTGGACATATTGCTTCGTTTCCGGACACATCAAATTGGACTGACTAGTGACATTGAAAAAGCGTTTTTGAATGTCAACCTTGCCGATGAAGATCGCCAATATACGAAGTTTTTCTGGCTACAAAACGCCGACGATCCTGAAAGCGACTTTGAAGTTTACCAGTTTAAATCAGTTTTATTTGGTTCAACTAGTTCGCCATTCATGTTGAATGCAGTTATTAAAACATACCTCGAAGAACAGTCATCGCAAATAGCCAACGATCTAAAGAACAATATTTACATCGACAACGTATTGACCGGAACTGAAAATCAGAAAGAAGCGATAAAATAATACCGCGACTCCAAAGAAATAATGAAGAACACCGGTTTTAATCTACGATCATGGGCAACAAACAACACAGCACTTCGTAATTTATTGAATAACGACAACGCTGCTGACAAATCAACGCTAGTCAACGTACTCGGATTACGATGGAATACTTGCCATGATACTTTGCACTACTCGGACAATATCAGCAATAAACGTCACCTTGGCAACACTGTAACTAAGCGTGAAATCGTACGGTACACGTCAAGTATATTTGATTCTTTAGGGTTTCTGTCACCGGTGCATATCCACGCCAAGGCCTTCATCCAACAATTTTGGAAAAGTCTTGCTGTTGTGGAAAAGCTCAACTTTGGTAACGACGGATTAGTTAGATCAGCGGACGTTCGTCTTAAATCAGGCAGAACTAGTCGCCCTATTTCGAAACTATATCCGCTAGAATTATCAACCGCCGAACCAGAACTACATATCGACTTGCTCGCCGGCCCGGAAAATATCGCCGATGTTGGAACATCGCCACAGCATGTCGCTAATAACATAGCATCGCGCCCGCGTAGAACTGCTGCTACTATCGCGCGACTACGAATTAAAGATCTCGCACGATGATCCTATTGCATCGTGAATCTATACGAACATTATTAACTCACATCGTTTTTATCTTTGTTATATTTTTAAATTAGAAACAATTTGTGTATTGAGCTTTCAGTGTTTGCTTATAATTATCGTTTACCTTCTTGATTATTTTTGAATGTGTTTACTTAATAATTATTTGATCAGAATTTAATTCACCAAGTATGCTATTTAGAACTAGTTTATTTCGATATCGTTTGATTACTTTTGGCCGCCCGGAGAAATGTGGGAAACTGTTTTTGTTTATTTTTCCCGTCGGGCGGACAGCGTCACTCTGTATGTTTATGTTTATGTTCATACTTGCTTTATACTCTATTTATGTTTGATCTTAATGAGTTCTTTCAACCATCAATCGAACGTCTCTCCGTGATATCGTCTTTCCCGACCGATGTATTTCCCCTACCACATTTTTGGTGCCGAGAACCAGTTGCATTGCTGAACCTACCAACACTCAACGAAAAGTTGCAGTCACTAGTATATCAAGAAGTCAAGATGACAGAACCAAGAACGAATCTGCAACAACTTACAAAGAAGCGAGGTGCTAACAAAGCGCAGCTAACCAGACAGTTACAGAAAGCGGACGATACATCGAAAAAAGACAAACTAGAAGAAACCGACATCGAAGTGCTTCAGTCAACCATCGAATACATTGAAGAACGAATCAAACTGGTACGTGACCTAGACGAACAAATACTTGATCTCGTCGAGGAAGAAAACTACGAAAGACTATTCACTGAAGCCGACGATTACTATATTCAAGTAAAACTCCGCCTCACTCGATACCAGCGGGTTTTGAACAAAGCAGAGAAGATATCGTCTCAACCAAATCCAACTGCCGCCACAGAAACATCGTCAAATTCACCATCGTCGTCAATACATCGTCAAGTAAATCTTCCCAAGCTCGAACTACCGAAATTCGACGGAGATTTCTTGAAATGGACGACATTTTACGAGGCTTTCAACGCCGCTGTTGACAAGAACCCATCGCTTGAAGACGTGCAAAAATTTCAATACCTGAAAAGCCAACTCGTCGATGAAGCTCATCGTACCATTGACGGTCTTCAACTCACCAACGCGAACTACAAAGAAGCTCTCCAACTCTTGGAATCCAGGTATGGTCAAAATCATAAAATTGTATCATGCCATATGAGCGCCATTTTGAACCTACCATGCCCACGTAACAATACTGACAGTATCCGGTCCTTTTATGACTCGCTCAAAAAGCATATACGCGATCTTAAATCACTAGGGAAATCTGAGGAAAATTACGGTGATCTACTTGTGCCGATAGTGTTCGAAAAATTGCCAACAAATTTGAAAACACAGATATCTAGGGACCATGGTAACAAGGCATGGACAATACAAGAACTTAGAGAATCCATCCAGCGAGAAATTCATGCGAATCAAGCCGCCAACACGTTTGAACAGTTCAACACCTGTGAAGATACACCGCTTTCCAGCTCATCAAATTTTCACATCAATGCGAAGCCAAGACGGAGACCAGCCTGCGTATTTTGTAAGGAAAATCACACACCCAACAAGTGTACAACAGTTACTGATCCTCAACAACGTAAGGACATTGTCTTCCGAAACAAACTGTGTCTCAATTGTTTCGGACCAAATCATCGCAGTAATGAATGTTGGAGTAAATTTTCATGTCGAATATGCAGTAAGAAACACCACACATCGATTTGCGGTTCATCAACGACCAGTCACCGTAAAGTTAGTGAACGGGCAGTCAAGTCAACAAAAGAAGACGTAACACACGTAAAATTGACTCCAACCTCCGGACCAGTGCTGCTTAAAACAACTACAGCGACTGTATCTACAAGTAACGCAAGTACAACCGCAAATATACTGCTCGACGAAGGCGCACAACGAACCTTCATCACAGAAGACCTTGCTCGCAAACTTCAAATTAACAGCGAAGATTGCAGCATAGAACACATCACACTTGGCGCCTTTGGACGTGACAAATCAGATGTACGCGCTATCAAAAGAACTGAGATAACACTAAAAACCAATTCTGGTAACATTGCACTACAATGTTTAATAGTACCCAAGATTAGTTCACCAATACAGAATGTCGTCGCACCAACACTACAACGGCATAAATATCTGCAAAAACTGAAAATCGCGCCCTTAGTCGAATCTGGTTGTTTTGACATTGACCTACTTCTCGGAGCTGACCATTATTGGCAAATTGTTGAAGATCACGTCGTTCGAGGTGAGGGACCCACAGCGGTATCCTCTAAACTTGGTTACTTGCTATCTGGTCCTTCTCACTTAAACAACGTGACTACAATGAACACAACTATAATGAAAGCATTAGCCGACACTGACCATGAACAATCCATCATATCACAGTACTGGGACTTAGAGACAATGGGAATAACTGCCAACGAAGATTCTAAGTTGAAATCCACAACGTTTGAAGAGTATTGGGACACAAAAATTCAACGAGATGGTAATAAATACACAGCCGGCCTACCATGGAAAGAAAATTGTGATATTCTACCTACAAATTATATACTGGCGAAAAACAGAACAAGAGCAATGGTAAAACGTCTTAAACCCGAACTACGGAAAGTCTACAATTCAGTCATAACAGAGCAACTACACCGAGGATTTATTGAAAAGATAATTGATGACGATATCTCACGTGGCTATTTTATCCCGCATTACCCCGTTGAAAAACAGTCAACAACTCCAGTTAGAGTAGTTTACAACTGTAGCGCTAAATACCGTGATCAACCCAGCCTCAATGACTGTTTAGAATCCGGTCCTGCTATCACCAACGATATGCTAGACATATTGCTTCGTTTCCGGACACACCAAATTGGACTGACTAGTGACATTGAAAAAGCGTTTTTGAATGTCAACCTTGCCGATGAAGATCGCCAATATACGAAGTTTTTCTGGCTACAAAACGCCGACGATCCTGAAAGCGACTTCGAAGTTTACCAGTTTAAATCAGTTTTATTTGGTTCAACTAGTTCGCCATTCATGTTGAATGCGGTTATTAAAACACACCTCGAAGAACAGTCATCGCAAATAGCCAACGATCTAAAGAACAATATTTACATCGACAACGTATTGACCGGAACTGAAAATCAGAAAGAAGCGATAAAGTACTACCGCGACTCTAAAGAAATAATGAAGAACGCCGGTTTAATCTACGATCATGGGCAACAAACAACACAACACTTAGTAATTTATTGAATAACGACACGCTGCTGACAATCAACGCTAGTCAACGTACTCGGATTACGATGGATACTTCCCATGATACTTTGCACTACTCGGACAATATCAGCATTAAACGTCACCTTGGCAACACTGTAACTAAGCGTGAAATCGTACGTTACACGTCAAGTATATTTGATCCTTTAGGGTTTCTGTCACCGGTGCATATCCACGCCAAGGCCTTCATCCAACAATTTTGGAAAAGTCTTGCTGTTGTGGAAAAGCTCAACTTTGGTAACGACGGATTAGTTAGATCAGCGGACGTTCGTCTTAAATCAGGCAGAACTAGTCGCCCTATTTCGAAACTATATCCGCTAGAATTATCAACCGCCGAACCAGAACAACATATCGACTTTCTCGCTGGCCCGGAAAATATCGCCGATGTCGGAACATCGCCACAGCATGTCGCTAATAACATAGCATCGCGCCCGCGTAGAACTGCTGCTACTATCGCGAGACTACGAATTCAAGATCTCGCACGATGATCCTATTGAATCGTAAATCTATACGAACATTATTAACTCACATCGTTTTTATCTTTGTTATAATTTTAAATTAGAAACAATTTGTGTATTGAGCTTTTGTGTTTGCTTATAATTATCGTTTACCTTCTTGATTATTTTTGAATGTGTTTACTTAATAATTATTTCAGCAGAATTTAATTCGCCAAGTATGCTATTTAGAACTAGTTTATTTCGATATCGTTTGAATTACTTTTGGCCGCCCGGAGAAATGTGGGAAACTGTTTTTGTTTATTTTTCCCGTCGGGCGGACAGCGTCACTCTGTATGTTTATGTTTACGTTCATACTTACTTTATACTCTATTTATGTTTGATCTTAATTATTGTAATTCTATTAATTGATTTACTTAAATCCCTGACACCTGGTCAGCGCAATGTATTGTTTCGGCGGCACCTTTCATGTGCGCTATATATTGCGTGACCATTTGCAGAATAAATCAGAGTTCTTTCAACAACCAATCGAACGTCTCTCCGTGA